GAGTGGCGGCCCCTTCTCTCTCCTCCTCCTCCTTGCTCGCCCCGTGGAAGCTCTTCCGCACCTCCAGGCCTGGTGCCTGCTCTCCTCTCCCTGTCTCTGCAAGTGCCACTGCGGCCTAGACTTGGGGCCTGAGCCTCTCCTGCCTGAAGCTTTCTTTGACCTCAAGTTCAGGGAGAGTCCCCTCCTCCTTGCCCCACAGCACCCCTTCCCACGAACACCCAACACGTGCTGTCACCGTCATTTCCGTCGCTTCTTGTGGTCACTCGTGCCCAGCTCCGGGTGGCCTGGGGGTGCTCAGGGGTCAGGGCCCGGCGAGTCTGACCCAGCCTGGTTCAGCCTGGTATTTCTGGCACCCTGTGCGGTGCTGACTCGGCAAGGGACCATAGCAAACCCGATTTTGAATAAACTAATAATCATCGTAGTCGGAACAGCAAATAATCACCTGGTGTGTGCCAGGCACAGGCCCAAAGCCTCAGTCTAAGCATGTTTTCTTATTTAATCCTCCCAACGGTGAAGTCGGTACCGTTATCACCACTTCACAGATGGGGAAACTGAGGCACACAGAGATTAGGGTTTTCCCAAGGTCACACAGTCAGTAAGACCTGAAGCCCAGATTCAAAATCAGGCCCTCTGACTGCAGGTGCTATGAATGGATGAATCAGTGATTGCCCTGGACGTCAAGGAAAAGAACCAAAGTTAGGTCTGTTTTTGCAGTTCTCATCCTGTTCCTCTGAAGACGTACGTGTTTTCTGAGTCCTGGTTTCTAGGAGGCGTCCATCGTGACACCATGGTGGCCCACTTGCCTGTGTCTTGGAGGGGGACAGCTTTGTGGAGGTGCCGAGACTCCCCTAAGTGGCGGGTTCCCCCGGAGCCTTCAGAAAAACCTGCACTGGCGATTTGAGGGAAATGTGGCTGGTGCCTCCGGGGAGCCGCGTCCTGCCCACCGTAGTGTCCAGGGAAGTAGGACGTGTCTCTCACCTGCCCCCAGGCTCAGGGTCAGCATGAGGGGGCTTCAGCTCCAGCAACCTCCTCCACCCAGGACCCGGCTTCCCCACCACCCCGTTCCTCCCTGCAGGCCATTCCTGGCCTTATCGCTGCTCAGATGTTTGCCTGAGCCACTTGCTGCATAGAAACTTGGTAGCGGTCGGTTCAGAGCGGAGCAGCACCTGGCGAGAGCACCCACTCCCATTCGTAGGCAGAAGCCCGCAGGGAGGGGGCCTTCGTCCAAGGGCAGCGTCCCCGGCCACGCGTCGCTTTGCTGTGGGGACGCCCTTCTCCCGCGGCAGCGCCTTCTCCTGCACAGGCGAAGAGCTGCTGCCACGTGTCTCCAACCTTCTGGGCCAAGCTTTCAGGGGCTTCCTCTCTGCCAGGGACATTTTTCTTGGATCTTTATCGCAGTTTCCCTCCTTTGAAAAAGTCAAGACCTTCAAGAAGACCTTGCGCTGCTCAGTGACGTGAGACCACTGAGGAGAGCCGCAGATCCCCACTGAGCGCACCGAGCCCTGGGTCTCCCTCACTGCGCACCGGCACCGAACCCTGGGTCTCCCTCACTGCGCACCGGCACCGAGCCCTGGGTCTCCCTCACTGTGCACCAGCACTGAACCACCCGGCACTGAACCACCCGGCACTGAGCCACCCGGCACTGAACCACCCCCTGGAGGAGGCGATGTCGGCTTATCCAGCTTTAAATTCTGCAACTTTGGCCTGGCTCGGTGGTTCACACCTGTAATCCCAGCACTTTGCGAGGCCAAGGCGGGTGGATCACCTGAGGTCAGGAGTTCAAGACCAGCCTGGCCAATGTGGTGAAACCCCGTCTCTACTAAAAATACAAAAATTAGTCGGGCGTGGTGGTGCACGCCTGTAATTCCAGCTGCTCAGGAGGCTGAGGCAGCAGAATCGCTTGAACCTGGGAGGCGGAGGTTGCAGTGAGCTGCGATTACACCACTGCACTCCAGCCTGGGCGATAGAGCGAGACTGTCTGAAAAATAAATAAATAAATAAATTCTGTAACTTCTTAAGAAATATCTTTACACTTGCCAAGCCGTCGAGAGTTTGGCTCTGGCTGAGACAATGGCCTTAACTTTTATTCACTAATACTTCTCTCTTACTCACTACTGCTTGAGGCTTTCTCTGTAGCCACCTCCATGCTAAGCACTGACTATACAGGAAACCATTTTAATCTTCACAGTAACTATAGGATTATCTCTATTTATAAAGTGAAAAAAATAGGCTTGGAGACCTTAAGAGGTTTTCCCAAGGACACGTGAAAAGTTTGTGGTTGTTTGCTATTGTTGACTTGGGGAGAAAAAGAAATAAAATTAAAATGGAAGTTTGTGGTGGAGCAGGGACCCCAGTCCTGGACTGTGGGGCCTCTTGGTGGCTTCACCCTCCGTGCACTCAGGAAAGAACAGAGCTCAGACCTCACTGTAGCTCTCCCATGGGTGGCAAGTCACAGGATGGGCATGGAACTAGCTTGATTTTTTATTTTTATGTGAGTAAGTCTCCAGCGTTTCAAATCCTCTTCCCCAGAGGGTCACATTCTCGGACCCTCTGGGTTTCCTGAGCCATAGCTGTTCTCATGCTTTGGTTGGATGTTATTTTTCTGGAGAAATTGTGTGAAGACATAGAAGTTACTTCAGAAACATTTTTCAGTGTGCTTTTCCCCCACGTCAAGCAAACTTCATGTGCACAATTGAGAAATAAATGAGATGTGTACTCGGGTTGGTTACTGGTATCATCTACCTTATTAAAATTATCCCTTGTCGGGCAGATCACCTCAGGTCAGGAGTTTGAGACCAGCCTGGCCAATATGGTGAAATCCTATCTCTACTAAAAATATAAAAATTAGCCGGGTGTGGTGACAGGCACCTGTAATCCCAGCTAATCAAGAGGGTAAGGCAGGAGAATCACTTGAACCCAGAAGGTGGAGGTTGCAGTGAGCTGAGATCGTGCCTCTCCACTCTAGCCTGGGAGACAGAGTGAGGCTCCATATCAAAAATAATAAAAATAAATAAATAAATATCCTTTGTGGTTTTTTTGTTTGTTTGTCTATTTTTGGGATTCTGAGAAAACTTGGGTGGATTTTTTTAAACACACTCACTATTTTAAAACAGTCTATATAAACTAACAAGTACTTGAAGATGTATGGAAAAGAAGGAACTGGAACTCTCCCTTTTGTTAGAGACCCCTGACCCTCACCAGAGGCCTTTGGTAAAGTCCACCTTCCCCTGTGCGTCTCTGCCCGGGTCCCCGCGGTCATCCCCCCAATTCCTGCAGCCACCCTCCTCCCGTCCCCGCGGTCACCCCCCCCGCCGTCCCCGCGGTCATCCTCCCCATCCCCACAGTCATCCTTCCTGTCCCCATGGTCATTCTCCCTGTCCGCAGCTGCTCTTACAGGGGCTGCAGGTTCGTGGAGAGTGGGGGCCGCAGGGCCCCTTCCCACAGCACCTGTATCTCGCTACGAGCCCGAAGCAGAGAGCCCGGGAACATGAATTGCTCGTCCCAGAGAGCCAGGTGGTGTCGGCGGCTTGGCAGACATCTTTAAAGCCAGGAAGCCGGCAGCCCGGGTGAAAGGAGGATGGACATGTGGAGTGTTTCCTGAGCTTTGGCGGTTGCCTTGGGGAGTGCAAGGCCTTTGACGCACACCGCGGGGGGGAGCAAGTGGGTGGCTCGGCCTCCCCCGGACGCCACCAAAATGAAACCAAGGCAGCAGCAGCCCACAAGGCTCCCTGGAGCCTTTCTTTTTCCCGTGAATGCATTTGCACCTCTTCTGTTGAGCTCCAGTTCTCTTACAAACTTTTTCTGGGTATCATTTCGTTTTGCAGACTCAGGGTACAGGTATATTTTCACCAGGCGAAAGGATGGGATATCCTAACACAGTGGTTAGAACAGTTTCAAAACGAGATTGTTGGTCAGACGTCGGGGGGCACCCAGGCTGCACCCCGAAGGTGAGCAGCAGCGGCAGGGTCCTGGCGTGTCCTGAGCACCTGAGGCTGTGTGGCCGTGTCCTGGCTGCAGGCAGGTCCCGCACGGCCGGGCAGGTGCTCGGGGTGCCCAACGCGTGTGTGGCTGAGCATTGCCTGGGGAAGGAGGTCGAGGACTCTGCGGTGATCCCACGGAAGCTGTCTTGGGGTGTAATGTTGAGAGTTTCTTTGAATCCGAGCACTTCTGCTTTGGTGTCTACTCAGCAGCACGGGCCTCTCTCGCTCCCCCCTGCCTTCCATCTCCTGTGCGGCTCCGTTTGCCTTCTCTTGCCTGGGCTCTTGGACGTTGCTCTGGAGAGAGAAAGAAACGTCAGAATGAGGTTTTTTTTCCTGCAAACACTTCGATTGTGGTACCAGCTTCTGTATCTCAGTCCCAGTGCAAAACCCCCCTGGCCTCCCCTGTGGCTTATATTCTAATAGAATGAGAAGCCACCCAGCGAAGGCTACTGTGGCTTTATTCCAGAATATTCCATGTTGATGACAGAGGAGGATCCAGTGCATGCTTTCTTGAATCCATAGGAGTGTGTGTTTGTGGTGTGGTGCGTGCAGTGTGTGTGTGTGTGTGTCTGTGGTGTGTGTCTGTGATGTGTGTGGTGTGCGTGTGGTGTATGTGTGTGTATTGTGTGTCTGTGATGTGGGGTGTGTGTGTGGTGTATGTGTAGGTATGTGTGTGATATGTCTGATGTGTCTGGTGTGTGTGTCTGATGTGTGTATGTGTGTGTGTGTGTGTGTGTATGTGTGTTTGTGATATGTGTTTGTATTCTCAGATTTTGAGAGCAAGGCCTCTATCTCCTCTCCTGCACAAGCCTGAAGCCTTCTCGGGGCGCTGTGCTGGGAGCGTCCTTTGGAGTGCGTTGACCATCATGTTGCACTGGCCCGCCCGGGGGTAAACTCTTGCCTGCCTGAACATTGGATCTTAGCACGAGAAGGGGTTGGTGCCATGTGGGTGCCATGCCCTCATCCTGCTGGGTGTCCCCAGTGCCACTAACCCCCTGCTCTGCCTCCCCCGTCCTCCAGGAGCTGTGCCGCCAGCGTATGGCCACGCGGCCACCAGACCGGCCCGAGGGCCCGCACACATCCCGCATCAGCAGCGTCTCGTCCCAGTTCAGCGACGGGCCGATGCCCAGCCCCTCCGCACGTAGCAGCGCCTCGTCCTGGTCCGAGGAGCCCGTGCAGTCCAACATGGACATCTCCACCGGCCACATGATCCTGGTAAGCCCCGCCTTTGCGCTCCCTGCTGCACGAGCACCAGGGCCCTCCTTCCTCGGCCCCTGCAACACCCAGCGTCTGTGCCCGCTGACCCGCGGGGACGAGGCCATGATGGCTGCACCCTGCCCGCTGCAGAGGCTGACAGGCAGGGCCCTGTCTGCAGGGAGTCCTCTTAATTTAGATAAACAAGAGTATTTACTTCCTGAGATCTTTGCTATGCTTCTGCCTGGAACGTGCAGCCCCCACGCACTCTCCCTGGTGTGTAAGAGTGAGCACCCACTATTTAGTTTTCAGTGGAATACACGTCTGTTAGCGCCTGCCATGTGCGCTGCCGTTTTGGGTCTCTGACTTGGAAGCAGTGGCTGTCTCCTTGGCACTCAAGGCCAGCAAGCATCGTTTGGGTAAATAAATGTCACCGCTCTGACAGCGAGGCAGGAGGAGGTGCGGGCTGGGTGCTCAGCTCTTCACAGGAGCCTTCCTGGTGGCGCCAGCACAGAAGGTCACGGTGATGCGACTTCAGCGGCCTTTTCCAGGGTCCTCGCTGGAGTGATCACGTGTGGAGTGGCCGTGCATTGCCACTCCGTACATAACAAATGTCCAGGTGTTAGTAGGAGAGCTGTCGATAGCTTAGCACATCCTGCTGGCTGCCTCCTGGGTCTCCGGGCTGCAGGCGTCATCCCGGTGGGTGACCGTGCCTGGCTGTGCTGTTTCCCACACTGGAGACAGAGTCTCTGGGGTAAAAGGGCAGAGCCTGTTTCGCTGCTTGACCGAAGCAGCAGCTGCACTTACTGGTCAGGGAAACATTCTTCACCATACCGTTAAGTTCCCAGGTCTCAGGATGGACCCTGTAAGTTGATGTTAAAAGCTTACTTTTTTAAAAACTATTTTTGCCTAATGAGTTAATAATAGTATAGACTGGTGGATCTGGACCACAAAAAGTCAGAAAACCATGTTTTCACTAAAAAGCCTCATTGCAGAGCTTGGAGATCAAGGCTGAAGGCCTCCCGGCCCAGCTGACACTGCAGGGACAGACAGCTCTGACAGCGGGTGGGAAACACTCAATTCTAGACCCACTTGGACCAGACGTTTGGGGAAACTGAGGAACACAGCAGACTTCTCCCTGGATAACTTAAAATGAGGCGAAGCAACAGTCAGGAAGCCTGGCTTTCCCGGTCAGTGAGCTGAGCAGGGCACATCCTTTCCCATCACTCCCTGGGGTGAGCCCACGAAGCCAGACCGCCCGCCGGAAATGCTCTCCCTGCAGGCTTGGTGGGGACAGAGAGCAAACCCGATGCGTTCACACCCTGAGCAGACAGCTCGTGGCTCGTGGAGTTCTCTCGGCGACCCTGTCATCGACTTTGGTGGAGCTTCCTCCCTTGGTGGATTGTGGTTTTGTTACTTTAGATCTGACTTTTCTGAGGCTGTTTTGACGTTTGTCCCTTTTAGAAAAGGAGCAGAGACCAGGAGTTCCTATTTGTGATAAGGTTTGGTATTGGGGTCAAACACATCAGCCAAAGACATTCATCTGACAGGTTAGCCAAGAGGAGAGCCGCTTAGCGAGCTCCCATTGTGTTCTGATATTTCCACATTTCAAGGTGCTTGAGTAACAATTTGATGATATCTCAAGCCCTATTGGTACCTGAAAATACTGTATTTCCCGGAGAATTGTGTTTGGCTTTCACATATGTCACAGCAGATCTGAAAGCAAACATGAGGGTTCATTTCCGCTGGAATGCCTAAACCGCAAGGACACTCGGCCTCCACCTGGCGGGAACCCTGCAAAGCCTGACTCCAGGCACCCTGTTGGGGGGTCATCGAGGGCCACAGACCGTGACATGGGCCTGTTTGTCAGCGCGCCTCACCACGGCCCACAGCTGCAGGGCCGAAACGAGAAACACACTCAGGCCAAGCATGACTCCGGCTGACTTAGACTCTGTGCGTACAGACAGTAAACTCAGGGAAACTGGATCTTCCTCATCAACCAATGAGGAAGATGTTTTGAAAGTGAATGTTACTGAGATATTTCCCTGACTCCACAATGCCAGCAGGCGCTGGTGGGAGTCGGGGTGGGTGTGGGGAGCGGCGGGCATCGTGCGGAGTCGGGGTGGGTGTGGGGAGCGGCGGGCATCGTGCGGAGTCGGGGTGGGTGTGGGGAGCGGCGGGCATCGTGCGGAGTCGGGGTGGGTGTGGGGAGCGGCGGGCATCGTGCGGAGTCGGGGTGGGTGTGGGGAGCGGCGGGCATCGTGCGGAGTCGGGGTGGGTGTGGGGAGCGGCGGGCATCGTGCGGAGTCGGGGTGGGTGTGGGGAGCGGCGGGCATCGTGCGGAGTCGGGGTGGGTGTGGGGAGCGGCGGGCATCGTGTGGAGTCCAGCAACCAAGTGAGCCAGGCATGGGCCTCGGACTCTGGCGTCTCCTCTCACCCAGCAGTTCTGGTTTTCCTTCCTCGGAGCTAACTTTACAAGTGCATCCCTCGCCCTTAGCCACATGGGGTCTCCTGGCGGGCATGTCCCTGGTACAGCAGCAGAGAGGCACAGACTTGACTTGCACCACAGGTGAGCCCCAGGTAGACCTCTTCCCAGGACTCACATGGGTGGCTCGGAAACTACAGCCAATCTCAGGGGCACTGGCCACCACCCTCCCTGGCACACGCAAGCTGCAGAAAGCACACGCAGGCTGGTGCCACAGGAACGCACCAGAGTCGCCGACATTCCGACTCATCACAGCTACAAGGCAGCCAATCCTGTGGTGATCCAGCAGCCCAGCCCTCTGTATGCAAAGGCTTGTTTCCATCAGACGCCAACACAGTGACCCCACTGCCCCTCACCTGAGGATGGCAGGACAGTGAGATAAGCCACACAGAGGCCCAGCGAATCCGAGGACCGGCTGTTCCTGACATGCAGCCGCTCCCAGGGCACGTTGGACAAAACGTGGCATCTGAACCCACGACCCGATGAAATAAACAGCAGCGGTTGATGATGTCCGGAGGCCACGCTGGGCCTGAGGTGCCCCAGCAGGTGGGAGGGACTGGCCGCACCGTCTGCGGGGCAGGTTCAACACCAAGAGTGGAGCCTTTGTATGACAAAGGACACATGTGGGAGAGTGGAGGCTGCACACTGCCCTGGAGCCCAGACCCTCAGGCGGGGCTGGCCTGGCTGTGGCCCCACAGGAAGGGCCCCTGGGCTCCGAGAGCCCCCTCCTGCCCTGGGACACTCCACCCACTGGCGCTCCTGCTGCTGCTTTCTGCACAGAGGCTGGGATTCCATGCTGGAGACCTGGAGGAACAGAACTCTAGAAATGAGCACTCCCTCCAGAGAGGTGAGCACACAAAGCTCTTATAAAGGAGACGGGCCAGGGTGCGTCCCTCACACGAGAGAATAAGGCCTCCCTGGGAGACAGGAGGCCGCAGGTGCCTGCCCCGATGGTGGGACCCATGGGGCTGTGGAGCCACTAGGTGTCACCAGGAAGAGGCTGGTGTCTCAGGACTGCAGGGAGGGCCTTACTTACCTGGTCAAGGTGTCCCAGCAGGTGGAGCAAGAGGGAGAGCACACGTCTCAGGGACCTCCGGGGAAGGGGCCGCATGAGAGCCTGATGGGAAGGGTCAGGGGCGGGCAGGTCCTCGGGGCAGCCGCTGGGTCCCCCGCTCTGCCGTGACACCAAGTGGTCGGGTCTAGACATGGAGCACGGATTCTGGGCTCCATCAACCAGGTGTCAGAGCTGAGACGCTTTGCTGTGGCAGGTGCCATGTCCCAGGTGAGACCTCCAACCTCTGTCTTTTCCCCTGTGAGACAGGCTTGATGGCGGTGCCTTTCCCCTGGGGTTCCCGTGAGGATAACCGGGTAAGCATCTGAGATGCCGCCCATCCTGAGACCTTGCACGGCCTGTGCTGCAGGTGCATCGGGCTGCAGAGGAAGGGGTTGTGCTGAAGGAACAGAGCCTGGCAGGGCCTTTGCTTGCTGGGGTTTGGGTCTCTGGGCGTGCGTTCTCTATGCCCTGCCCAATCCCTGTCTCTGGGCTTTGATGCTGGTTTTTGTGTTGCTTTGCCTTCATTTTCTTAGAAAGGTCCTTTAAAAAATTCCAGTTTTCTTCTGATAACTAAGGAGAAAGGGCCTTATCTGCAGGGAAAACCCAGCCCAGAACGTCACCTGTTCCTGGAAAATGGGCCTCCCAGGCACGGGGAAGGTGCAGGCCGAAGGAGGGGGCCGTGCCCCTGCCTTGGACTGTCTGGAAGAAGCTGAGTCGAGGCTCACCTGCAGGTGAAAGGAGTGCTCGGAGGAGGGAGAGGCAGGAGGGAAACACTTCCATGAAGAAACCAGTACATTTCTCTGGACACAGCCGAAAGGCGACACGGAGATGCTCACTCAGAGCAAGGCTTGGGACTCTGAAAAGCAAGGATGTGATGAAGACGACTTCACAGGACGGTTGTCAAGGCGGCTTCATGTTAATCATCTTCAGGGACGTGGCTTCTCAAGAAATCCTGTTGCATCCTTTATAAGGTAAAGAATCATCGAGTGTTTTCAAGATCTGTTTCCCTATCCCTTTGCTTTCAGAAGGGCGACATTTCTGCCTGGCTGGCTCTGAGTGAGGAGGTGGAGAAGAGTGTCACCGTCCCGATGTGACTAATTACGCCTGAGTCCGCTGGGAGCCACCGTGTCCGCCTTTAAAGGCTAGAGAACATTCTTTGGAGAGTGGGAATGTTAAGAAAAAAGATGGCTTCACACTTCTCCATTCGACTTACAGAATATAGAACTTAAATTTGGGAAAGCCGTGCTGAGTCAGTGCTTTTAAAAATCCATCCTCATGAGTGTTGAAGATGAGCATATGGACCGTGAGTTCGCTCATCCTTGGAAAGTGTGGTGCTGGTAACAGGAGCACCACTGTCCTAAGGCAATGAGGACACAGGAGCTGTGAATAGACCCATTTCACAGATGACGACATTAAAACCGAGCACAGTGATGGAGACGTGAAAAACGAAAAGTTACAGCCTTGCAGGAAGTGACCAAAGAT